AAATTGCCACGTCTCGCATATTAAAAATAACGTAAGTAAAGACAAGATTAAAGTAATCATCGCCCCACATTTCCTCGTCCTTGCGCTGTAGCTAGCCCACCACCTTGCCTGAAGATAGCCCAATCATAGACCCTTCTCCTAGGAAAAAAAAAAGTCTCGTTTTATTTACTCTCTTTTCTGAAACTCTTCCACTTCCTCTTTCTGCCTCTTCACTGTTCGTGCGTTCAACACTTTGTTATTAATTAAGCCCAGACACGATTTCCAACAGCCAAAGATGGTCAAAGATCGCCAAGTGGACCTCCAACCTGTCTAAACTATTGTGGCCCTTTCCCTCTTCTGACCCGTAATTGTGCCATTGATTAGTTGAAACCTTCAGTGAATGAACCCTCACGGATCCTTGCAATTGTCCTCTCAATAGAAAAAGTAAATCAGATGGACGGAGTACTGCCGACACTGGGGCCTTTTTGGTTTTTTTTTTTTTGGAACCATGAATGTCCTTCATGAACCCATTTAGCTTTCCATTTATTCACCAAGGTTATAAACTGATCAAAATCAACAAAGATAGATTTTTCCACTGGTACCTCTTTTAGCAAATTTTCGCCTATCTTCATGTTTCTTGAGAGAGTTACAAACACAAAAAAGCAACATTTGGGGTAAAAAAATCTAGGATTAAATTAACTGCAAAAACCGTGGACGAAGATCCTGCTGGTTGTAAACGTTGGATCTCTAGAAAAGAGATCAAATCAGCCAAAATATAAGGAAACAAGAACGAGAAGCCCGAAGACTACAGCAAAGCTGATTTAAAACAACGTGTATTGTTTTTTATATTAATATTTCGGCTGGCCATACCAGCCTTCTTCAGGTTTACAGATGTTACTGAACTTATGTAGCAATCACAATATCATATAGATGGAGAATGTCGCAATAAAAGGGAGAGGCGGAAATGACGTACAACATAAAAACTGGATAGGAAAAATACTAAGGATATGGATTACAATAATTCGTCACGGCGGTTTAGGCCAGGAGGTTCAAGAGTCATGGCCTTATCTATCAAATGCGACTCCCTGGCCGTACTAACTGAGTCACGTGAAGAATGAATTTTTTCTAGTGGGATTAACTGCATATCAGTATGAGAATGGTTAGAGTGAGAGAGAAAGTGTTCAGAAACAGTAGTGGGTTTAGATTTAATGTTAGTTTTGTCGACTGCACGTCTGTGTTCGTTAAATCTGTCCTTGAGACGTCGCTTAGTTTCACCTATATATTGTAAATTACAACAGTTACATTGAACCATGTAGATAACATTTTTAGTGTTACAAGTAATGTGTGAAGTGATGGAGCGTGTTTCACCTGTAGCGTAAAAGGTATAACTTGTTAGGCCGTTAGTAATGTATGGACAAGTGGCACAATTCTGTCCACAAAAATCTACCGGTACTTCCAATTTTTCTATTCACCTTCTATTCTCTACAGATTAATTAAATGTCCCTTTCCTGAAAAGTTAGCCAGCCAAAATGCCTTGCAAAACAAAGACAGTCGGAAGACGATCAAGTGCCGGAGCAACAGAAGAAGAAAGGCATAGGGAAAAAAGAGAGCGGGAGAAAAAGATCGATATAGGTTCGTAAGATATGTGCAAATTTTGGCTTCTGTACGTCCAATTGAGCAGTCTTGTGTTGCAAATCTCTTTTTCAGCCATTCCCATATCAAGCTAACTGGCTAGCCCGCATAACGGGCGTGCGTTTTTCAGGCGAGTGATGGCAATTAAGCCTGAAGCCGTAGCGAATGCAAGCGCGAAGCGAGTGAGGAGAGCCATTAAGAAGTATATGCAAAAAACGATGGTACGTGGACAGGCCGTTGTTTTTTTTGCGTCTTCCCCGTCGCGCTTGTCTGGCGCTTCTCACTCACTTCGCGCTTGCCTGAAACTGAAACTGTTTCCTGTCGCGTTCTGTTACTACTGAGGGTCAGGTGAGGATGGACATGGACTGAAAACTGGAAAAATTGGGCCATCTTTTTTAAGTTTAAATGCATCACCCAAAAAGATATTTTTGGCTAGTGCTCCCTGATAAAATATCTTCTTCATACCCCACATATAACTCTACAGTGAACATTTTTTGACTGGCTAAAGGCAGCAAGTTATAGCACAGAATCAACCTAAAACAGCAAATATACTGATTTGGGGTCTTCCGGACAAGAACTGTCACAGGGAGCCCAGAACCTCCGCCTCGCACATTGACAATCTGTAACCAGCCTGCTGCTAAGAGGGAAATATCTAAATATTGGATTTTTTTTGCCTGGTATCACAAATGGCTGGAGCTAAAATTTTCATGGTCAAAATTCCAAACCAAGGAAAAAATGTTTTTCCGTAATTTTTTTTGTAACGGCACATGTTATTCAGCAATTAAATAGCCCCCACCCCCTCGCATATGCCATAGCTAAACATCAATTTAAGAGCAGTTATATCGCATAACTCCTCTTTCCCTTTGTCTGAAGTTCTTTCCTTCTTTAC